ATTTCTTCTCTGATATCTCAGACCAAGGACAGCTCCACCAGTTAAAACACTCTTACAGCAAAGGGGCGTTTACAGCACAGGCTGATAGGGGAAGGAGTTGTGAGGGAAGCACAGACTAAGGAAAACACACTCTCTCAGACTTATGGTTTTAAAATTTCAACTCTCACTGGACCACTTCTCCACTGGAATTACTCACTGGCATAACAGCCACAGCAATTCAAAAAGCCTTTCACTCCTCCTTTTAACATAAAAGCTGTAAAGTCACACTTGACACTCCTTTTAAAAATGTTATTCTCTCAGCTCACAGAGAAGGCGAAATAACTAGTAAAACATAGCTTCTGTTTCATTTTAAAACACTGTCTCTTCAACAAGTTACTTAATACCTTTGTGCCTCAGTTCCTTTATCTATAAAATGGATATAACAATAGTGCCTACTTTATTGGATACTGAGCATTAAAATGAGATAATCAAGTACAATACATAGCAAAGTCTGGCTTATAATAAGTTCTCAAAAATATTCGCTATGGTGAGGATGATCATGTTATGACTTCTAATATCTATGTCAGGAGTTTCCTACAAGGAACTTCAGCCAAAGAAGGCAGACAAGAATACTGCTGAGATATGATAATGGTGAACATTATGAGTGACATGTCTTGGAAAATTCTTTTCAACTCCTTCAATCTCATTACAACAAATTTGCTTAGAATCTTTATTAAACTGACTGTTGCTTGAAATAAATGGGTTATTAAATGGAAAATCTCTTTTTGTTAAAATTTCCTCTGAAATAGCATTAGTCATAACTGGATTTTATATTCCTTTTGACATCTTATATATCTTCTATTAATAGTCTCAATTCTTTAGTCCAAATAACCAGTTGAAAACATCTAACTTAATATTTAATAACTAAGGATTTGTTTTATCAAAAAAAGTTGCTCTTGGTTCCAAAGGAGAGCTTCTAAGTCCTTCAGTGGAGGCTGTTAATGAAGACAGGTAAAATTATTTCAGTTAATAAGTAAATACTTAGAATACTGCAGATATCCAAAATATTTAAAATACTTCAAATTGATAATTTCAAGGCCTCTAATAGTTATTGAGACACTGTGGAATACAGTGAGAAAATCTAAAGCGATGAGCTGGTTAATTCAGACACAAAGGCACTCGTCATCAATTAATTGAGAGTTTCAGGTTGAAATACTCAATTATTCAATTGCTTACTTCACCTGGGCAATGTCTACATAATAAATTAACCTAGTCTATCTTCATAATTAACGTACGTTCATCAGCATACAGGCTAAGGGTATAGGGCTTGAGACCAGAAAGATTCCAACTTGGTAACCTCCTAGATGAGTGAGCTTGGTCAAGTTGTTTAACTTAAGCCTCAGTTTTTTTCATTCCTAGAATACAAGTAACATTTATTTTGCTGATTTATAAGGATAAACTGAGGTAATACATATAAGGAGCTTACCTGACATTTAGTAAGTAGATATTGTATTATTTCTTTTTTTAACCACTTCAGTGTCTAAGCTGTGATAATAAGACAAGTAAATACACACTGTATCAGATGGTGATAAGCACTGTGTAGAAAAGCAAAGTAGGAACCTTAAATGTCTACCAGTGGGGGAAGAGGTAGCTAAAATAAGAAAAAACAGAAGGAAACATGGATAAGGTGGCTTAGCCTCACTCTGTGCATGTAAGTATCAAGAGGCACAGGGCAAATTATGTTCTTTCTGCCACTGTTGTTTCATGATTGTGACCATCACAACCAGGAGGACACAGTCTAAAATCATGCAGGCAAGTGGAAAAGTGGAAGCAGTCAGGAGTGAGGAGGTGGGGGAGCTAAGAAACTCAGAGTTCCCACTGATACCTGACCACGCAGTCCAGAGGATGAGCTCACTTGTACCAGCTCAGTTTCTTTTGATCATTAAAAAATGATTATTTTAAAAAATAACATAGCAACATTACAGAAAGGATATAACCTAAATACAGAAAATCTGAAAGATTTAGAAAAAAAATAAGCCTATAATCCCGTTAGCCTTATGTATTTAATATCTGCACTTGGGTTCATTTCCTCATAGTCTTTTTTCGTTTGCATATTTAAAGATAGCTGAAATCATACTGTATACAATTGTGGCTCCTGTTCTCTTAAATATAACATTTCATAAGCATTTTCCTTGTTGCTAACCAGCTTTTTATAACTATTCTTATAACAGTGAATAATATATCATTAAGTAAGTGAACAGTAATTTACTTAATTTAACTATCTCCTTATATTGTTAGATGTTTAGAATTTTTCCAATTTCTTGATATTATAAATATTATATCAATATGTATTTTCCTGTATATCTTGTTTTTCACAGTTTAGATTATCTTCTTAGAATTGATTTTCAGAATTTCCAAAACATAAAATGTTCCAGGACATCACCATTTTATGACTCTTCATATTTACTGCCAAATTGCTTTTTTCAAAGGGATTATATCAATTTACGGTCCCCAAGATGGTGGGGAAGAGAAACAAACCTCATTGCAACCCTTGAAAACACTGGATTATTTCATTATTAATCTGTTTTTACTGCTTCAGTTTGCAAGCTGTGATGTAAACCAGTAAATACATAGTATATCAGAGGGTGATAAGTGGTTTGGTGAACAGCAAAGTGGGGAGAGAAAAAGTGCCAAAGAGGGGAGGAAGGTTGGTTGTTGCTGTTTTGTATAGGATGATCAGGAAAAGTCTTTCTAAAAAGGTGGTATTTAAGTAAAAGCTAAGAAAGTGAGGGAGTAAGATATGAGAATGGTCTGAGGAAAGAGGATTTCAGGCAGAGAAAACACCAAGAAAGGCCCTAAGTATTGGAGGAACAGCAAGAGGGCTAGTGTGGCTCCCATATACAGAGAATAGGGGGTCATGGAAGGAGATGAGATCAAAGGGAAAATAGGCAGCTAGGATACATATGGCTTTGTCCCACATTGTGAGGATTCCCACCCCCACCCTACCCCCGAGTAGAAAAGGGAGGCATTGAAGTGTTTTGGGAAGAGGTGAGTCAGGAACTGACTTGTGTTTTGTATGATTAGCTGATTGGTTCAGAATGGATTAAATATGCTCAAAATCAAACAGCACTTTCCCAGCAAACCTCCTACATTCTCAGCATCTCCATCAATGCTCTCACCCATCAATGCTCTCACTCATCAATGCTCTCACTCATCAGTGCTCAAAACCACAGTCATCTTTTGCATCTCAAAACTAGTCATCAACAACCCCTGTCAGTTCTCCCTCCAAAATGTCTCTTGCATCTGCCTTCTCTAGCCACCATTCCCAGTACCAGAACCCTACAATGACCGTTTTCTAACTGATCCCCCAGCCTTCTTTTTTTTCTGCTCACCACTCATACTACTCAGTGCCATCAGAGCAATAATTCTAGCAAAGCTGATCATTCATGGCTCTGCTCTTTATCTTTGCGGCCCCTTCACCACCAAGTAAGGTCCAAATTCTTCAGAATGGAATTCAAGCTCTACCACAATCTGATTCTAATCTAGTGGTCAAAGTTTATCTCCCATTATTATTCAGAATCAACTGTGCTTTCCTGTCTAACAAGTTTCCTGAACCAGCTCTGCATTTCCTTACCATACACCTTTGCTTACATTGTCTTCCCTCTCCCTCTTCCCACCCCTCCCCCACCTCTCCATACCTTCTGTTTAGAACACCTTTCCTTTCCAGCCCCACCCAGAAATCCTACTCATAGTTCCAGGACCACCCCAACCATCACTTTCTTCACCCCAATCTTCTTGGCTGGAATTATGCTTATTTCCTCTGTGCTCCCATAAATTCTACTCCATTACCCATACATTCTATATCATATTATACCATAGTTTTGTGAATATGCTTTCTTTCCTACTAGATGATAAGTTCCTTGAGGATCCATGTCTTGCTTATTCTTGTAACGCCTACAGCACTTATAAAATGCCTTGAACGTACTAGATATCCAGTAAATACCTGTGGAACTTAGATTCTTTAAGGCCTTGTTGCTAATTTGTTGTTGAAACAGAACTAGAATTCAGGTCATGTGATTCCCAGCTCCATATACCTTCCCCAATACCATTCTATCTTTCTGACTTCTTTCTGTGGCTCATTGTCATCCCATCTGAAGTACATTTGAAACAGCTAAGGAATTTTAAGGAAGGATGACTAAACAAAAGACAAATGCTGAAATTTATTTTTCATGTAGCTATTTAAGCCAAAGTGAACCTAATTTAAGGGCACTAAAATTTTGACTCTGAATTAAAAAAAAAATTTAAAAAACATGGTATTTATAGGTCTAGAAACTTTTTTGCTACTTAGCATTTGATTTTTGAGCTGAACTTAATCTTTTAGGAGTCAAATTGCTATGTTTCTTGGTATACTGTAAACCTGTAGATTGGGGAAAAAAGAAAAAAAAATGTGTGTGATTTTGCTTCACAGCAGGCAGCAACATTTCTAGATCGTAAGAACATGAAAGGGTTTAAACATTTGGGATGAGACCCTGAGACAAAGCATAGTTCTCAATTCTCCCAATTCTCCCAATTCTCCCCTGGCCTTCCCATCTTGGAAAAATAGCTCAAGGAGATAGTGTTCTAAACTGGGCTTCCCCTTTGATATTTTAAATTAAATAAGTAAATTATACTCATGATACATGTTATACATGAGTATATGTAAAATGAGAATAAAACTGTTATAATATTTACAATATAGCAATAGCTAGTCTTAGTATGCACATATGAAAATTATTTTTGAGTGATGAACACTGATGCCTTAGGAAAAGCAAGATCTGACTGAGTTAAAACACATATTTTAGAGAATGACTTAAAGTAGTGGGGCGAGGGGGGGAAATGGAATGACTTTCTCTCCTAAACTGTTTTGCTGCCTTCTCTTCATTGCAACTTAGAAGAGAGCAGCATTGCTGTGAAGAATGTCCCATTGAGTTTTTCACAAATTCAAATGAAATGGGATGAAATTAAAGCCTTACATTTTACAGGGAAGAAGAATGAAATGGAAGCACTCGTTCGTCTCCCTCTGCTCCATCTCCCTCTGAGCATTACAGCAGTGACTGACCTGTGGATCTGATGTGAATTGTAATGTGGGATCATAGAAATGAAAGTAACCTCTGAAGTAGTTTCATCTACCTTCCGTCTTTGGCAAGTAAGCCCCAAACTGTTACAAAGAGTTAGTATTTCAGAAACTTTCCCCTAGGCAATTTTCCCCAAATCCAACCTACATTCTACCTTACAGGATGGCAGGAACAATTTTTCTTGTGCGCTACAGTGGAGACGTGAAAACAGCTTTTTGCCGTAGCTAATCATCATAACCATTTCTGCATCACATGGGTTATATTTCTGGACTATGGGGAGACAGCCTAGAATAATGGGTAAGAATTCAGGCTTAGAGACAGACAGATTTGTGCTTAAGCCACAGCTGTATGATCACAGGCAATTTACTTAAGTTTCTCTAAGCCTCAATTTCCTCACCCATAATGTAGGGATGATAATACAGTCCAGCTGATCAAATTACTGTGAAGAATAGTCTAGAATAAGTGCTAGAATAAGTCCAATAGAAATATAATGCAAGCCACAAATGTGAGTCACGTATGTAATGTAAAATTTTCTCATAGCCCCATTAAGAAACAAAAAGAAACAGGTGAAATTAATTTTAGTAATATATGTTACTCAACATATCCAAAACATCATTTCAACACGTAAAAAATATTAGTGAGATATTTTATGTTCTCTTTTTTGTACTAAGTCATCAAAATCCAATGTGTATTTTACACATATGGTTTGTCTCAACTCAAACTAACAACATTTAAGCACTTAATAAGCCACCTGTGGCCAGTGGTTACTGTAGTGGAGAGTCCAGGTTTTGACAAAAGCTATAAAGCATTTAGCATTATGCTAGGTGTGTAGTGAATGCTAGAAGGTTGGGGCTGCTATTATTTTTCTTAATATTATTCTTAGAGAACTCTGTAATCTTCTCAAAGCCTTCACTTCTCCAGACTGACCCTAGCTATGATGCTCTTAGGAGTACCTGGGGAGACTGGGTTACTCAAGCCAAGCACTTCAGTTACTTCAAAGGCAACTTCTTCATGGCCAATCCCCATCTATCATATGGAGAGGGTCACAAAAAGTGGCATCTGCATGGAGAATGACCTTCAATACTGACACATTAAACCCCAAGACGTAGGCACCACCACTAATCTGCTACCTTCTCATACAAATAGTACAGGATAGGACATCTGCTAAAGCAACCACTTGTTCCTATGATTTTCCCCTTGTAAGTAGTGAGGTGCTATGCAATACATTGTACTCAAAAGTCGATTTGCTAAGTTAAATATACAGTTAGAATATGATCCAGCAATTTCACTGGTATAACCAAGAAAATTATAAGACTTATGTTTGCACAAAAACTTGTAAACAAATGTACACAGCAGCATTATTCATAATGGCCAAGAAGTGGAAACAACCCAGATGTCCATCAACTGATGAATGGATAAACAAAATGTGATAAATCCATACAATGGAATATTATTCAGTAATGAAAAGAAATGAAGTACTGCTTCATGCTACAGCATGGACAAACCTTGAAACCACGTTGCTCAGTGAAAGAAGTCAGACACAAAGGGCCACATATTGTGTGATTCCATTTATATGAAATATCCACCATGGGCAAATCCATAGAGAGAAAAAAAAGATTCTTGGTTTCCAAGGGCTAGGGAGAGGGGAGAATTGAGAGTGACTGCTAACAGGTATAGTTTCTGTCCAGAGTGATGGAAATATTTTGGAATCAGATAATGGCAATGGTTGTACATCACTGTGAATATACTAAAAACCACTGAATTGCTAAAAAAAGAAAGTTGATTTGTTGTCCAAGGGAAGCATGGTCAGATACACAGTACTGCCAGAGCCCCAGAATAGAGAAGTATTTGTAAGACTTTAAAAATAGAAGAGATCACCCATGCCCAAAATATTATTTGATAGGATAACATTTTTAACTACAGCATGCATAATATCAAGTCTTTCTCTCCTTTTCATAAATGAAAATTGTTTTACATTTTAACATTAAGCATATTAACTACTAAGAGGGCACAAACTTCAAGGACACACACATATACATAAACATAAATGCATGTAAATTGTCAGAACCTTCTGAAAGACTGTACCTGTCATTCCTTTGTTTAGGGCTCTCCCACCACTCCCATCTCACCCTCAGGATGACCCCACACCCCCCAGTGCCACCTGCCTACTGTGTGGCAGCAGAGTACAACAGTTAAGGCATGGGCCAGACACAGCCAGACAGCCCCAGTTAAAGTCTACGTCTCACTGCTCACTAGCTCTGTGACTTTGAGCACCCTTCCTAAGTTTTCTGTGGCTCAGTTTCCCTTTACAACAGGGATGATAAGAGTGCCCAGGCTTGTTGCAAGGATTAACAGAATTAACATATAAAGTACTTACAATAATGCCTGGCCTGTATACTACTCAAAGCAATCTACAGATTTAATGTGATCCTTATCTAATTACCCAGGACCTTTCTTCTCAGAACTAGAAAAAATAATTCTAAAATTTATATGGAATCAAAAAAGACCCAGAATTGCCAAAGCAATACTGAGGAAAAACAACAAAGCTAGAGGCATAACCCTCCCAGACTTAAGACACGCTACAAAGCTACTGTAACCACAACAGCACAGTATTGGCACAAAACAGACAAAATGGCACAAAATGGATCAATGAAACAGAAAAGAGAGCTCAGAAAGAAACTGACACACCCACGGTCAATTAATCTTCAACAAAGGAGGCAAAACTATACAATGAAGAAAAAGTCTTTCTGACAAGTGGTATCGGGAAAGCTGGATAGCCAAATGTAAATCAATGAAATTAGAATGCTCCCTCACACCATACACAAAAATAAACTCAGAATGGCTTAAGACTTAAACATAAGACAAGACACTATAAACCTCCTAGAAGGGAACATAGGTAAAACATTCTCTAATATAAACTGTGGCAATGTTCTCCTAGGGCAGTCTACTGAGGCAATAGAAATAAAAGCAAAAATAAACAAATGGGACCTATTTGAACTTATAAGCTTTTGCACAGCAAAGGAAGTAATAAACAAAATGAAAAGATAACCTACAGAATGGGAGAAAATATTTGCAAATGATGTGACTGACATGGGTTTAATTTCCAGAATATACAAACAGCTCATAAAACTCAATAAAAAGAAACAAACAACCCAATCCAAAAATGGGCAGAAGACCTAAACAAACATTTCTCCAATGAAGAAATAGCCAATAGGCACATGAAAAAATGCTCAATATCCTAATTATCAGAGAAATGCAAATCAAAACTACAATGAGGTTATCACCTCACACTGGTCAGAATGGCCATCATTAAAAAGTTCACAAATGATAAGAGCTGGAGAGGGTGTGAAGAAAAGGGACTCTTCCTATGCTGTTGGCAGAAATGTAGTTTGGTGCAGCCATTATGGAAAACATTATGGAGAATCCTTAAAGAACTGAAAATAGATTTACCCTGTGATCCAGCAATCCCACTCCTGGGCATATATCCAGAGGGAACTCTAATTTGAAAAGATACATGCAGCCCAATGTTCATAGCAGCACTATTTACAATAGCCAAGACATAGAAACAAATATCCAACCACAGATGAATGGATAAAGAAGATGTGGTATATATACACATTGGAGTACTACTCAGCTGTAAAAAAAAAGAATAAAATAATGCCATTTTCAGCAACATGGATGGACCTGGAGATTGTCATACTAAGTGAAGTAAGCCAGAAAGAGAAAAATACCATATGATATCACTTATATGTGGAATCTTAAAAAAATGGACACAAATGATCTTATTGACAAAACAGAGACAGACTCACAGACATAGAAAACAAACTTATGGTTACCACAGGGGAAATGGGGTAGGGAGGGATAAATTGGGAGTTCAGGATTTGCAGATACTGACTACTATATATAAAACAGATAAACAACAAGGTCCTACTGTATAGCATAGAGAACTATATTCAGTATATATGTAATAGCTTATAATGAAAAAGAATATGAAAAGAAATATGTATATATGTATAAGTGAATCACTATGCTGTACATCAAAAATTAATACAACATTGTAAATTGACTATACTTCAATAAAAATTAATTTTAAAAAGCATGCCTGGTCTGTGGTAGATGCTTTATAAGTATTTTATAAATAAAAATAAATAAGTATTCTAAAATCTGTCCCCACAGCATGCCAGCCTTGCTTAAACATGCTTCCCCTCTGTCTGGAACACCCCACGATAGCTCCTCCCCTCTTTTCTTTCCGTACTTCATTCAAATATCATGTCAGCAACCCTGATCACTCTATCCCTGTCCCTTGCTTGTTTCTGTTTGGAGCATTGATCACTTTCTAAAATTCAGTCTGATAATTTGCCTTTGTATCTTGTTTGTGGTCCATCAACTCCTAATGAAATGCAGGAATCTTTACTGTTTGCTATTCAGCCCTAAGCATCTAGGATAGTGTCTGCTGCAGAGAAGGCACTCTACCATGTTTTCTGAATGAACGAAGGGACAATAGTTACTTCCGGGCAGTGGCCCTGGGGATGGGAATGAGGTATACTTTTCCTGAACACTTCTTTCACCATTTTATATTTTACCACATGCTTATGTTCTTCTCATAACAATGAAAAGTGAGAAATAAAATACTGGAAATAAAAGAGGATGTGAACCCATAACAAAAAACAGTAAGACTTCAGGCATCCATGACCAGAGGAGAATTCCACAGGAAAGTGTAAGGTTGCTCCTGCAAATCACCTTTAGACTTTAGCCCTGTGTAGAAAGTGGAATCACACCTCAGAAATGGCACACAGCCCTAATTTTGAAGCACAGCATGTACACAGGTTAGCAGAAAGTCTTAATAAGATCTCTCGTATTGTGCAATATGTGTTCTGTACCTATGGGTACAATGAGAAATTTTTCCATGACCAAAGGCCTGTTTCCAGGCACAGTAAACAGACGCATTTGCTGAAGGTTGTTTGCCCTCTTCCACCCCTGCACCCCTGCCTGCATTGGACAGGCAGGAGGCCACAGTGCATGGGATCCCTTGGGCAGCGACAGACAGTCTGTCTCCACAGCCTGCGAATAGTGGTCTTCCTCATTCCCTCAGGCCTTCTGGAAACCCGATAAGGTTACAGGATCCCACATAAGAGTTGGACTTCAAGTGAACTGTTCTGTAAACTTATCCCAATCAGTTGGAGGTAAAACTGTCTTCAGGGTCCCCCGACTTCTCTATTCCGTTTCTCTCTTTCCTCCCCCTGTGTTACCACCTCTCTGCTCTCTCCTATCAGGAGAAAAACCACTGATGAGTCATTAGCTCCTTGAATAATGTGTTACCTCTACCATGAAGTTTTGTATTTAAAAAGTGGTCAAGAGGGAAGAAATAATGATGATGATGTTCATAACGATATTAATAATACAATGAAGATGATGTTAATGAGAGCTGATGATAGCAGATATTGCTTATTGAATATTACTGTTAGCCAGATATTCTGCTAAAAAGTGGATACAATTTATGTCATTTAGTCCTCCAATAATCCAATGAGGTAGGTGTTGTCATACTCACATTATAGATGAGGAATGAAAAGTCACATAATTAGTAAATGGCAGACAGAGAGTTTAGAAGAACTGTCTAAAATTGTTTGCTCTAAGGAATTTCTACATATTATTCAAATGAATGGATTCTAAGGTGGAAACTTGACCCTGTAGGGAGGGAGCTGAGGAGAGTCAATGACAGCACCCTGCAGTAGCAATGACCTTTGAGGCTTGAAACTGCAAACAATTCACTGTAGCTATGACTGCCTGGGTTCAAATCCTAACCCTGACACTCGAGATTACCTGAGGCAAGTCACATAATCTCTATGCTTAAGATGCTTATTAGAATTCAATAAGATGCCGGGGTGGGTATAGGTCAAGTGGTAGAGCACATGTTTAGCATACGCAAGGTCCTGGGTTCAATCCCCAGTACCTCCTCCAAAAAATTAATAATAAAAAAAAAAGAATGCAATGAGATAATGTCGATGAAGTGCTTGCAATAGTACGAGTGTATATATATATGCACATACATGGAATTCCAATGGTGTATATTTTGATTGCTATACATTCCTGCTATTAGAATAGTTTATTTCTAGCTTTCAAATAACAGAAGTGCTTGTTTACCTAATTTTATAATGTAGTTGTTGGTCTATCTTCTTCAGGCTTTTTCTTGAAAACATAGCATAATAATAGAATTTCAAAGGGAGATACCTCAAATACCATTTCCCTAACACAACAATTATTTTTATTTTTGCATATTGCCTTCCAGTTTTGCTAATTCTGAGAAGCTACATGGAAAGGACACTATATTGAATTAAATTTCCATTTTTATTTTGCTGTCACAAATTAGCTGTATGACCTCAGGGAAGTTACATAATTGCCCTTTGCCTTAGCTTCCCAAAGTATAAAGTGAAGAGATTAGACTAGATGGTCTTTAAGATCCTTCTAGCTCCAACAGTGTATGCTTTTATAATCCATAATCTACTTTCTTTTTTGCTTTCATGGTTCATATGGTATTGTTTATACAAAGTACATGTAAGTAATGTTTGCAAAGTTACTTAACTTTCCAAACTATGTCTAGGAAATAAGGCTTTGCATCTAATGAGTTATGCAAAGGTAAGGTATGACTGAAACTCCCAGGAATTTCAAAAGTAGCTACCAAATTACCAAAAAGCCATAAAAATTAGTATCAATACATTCATTATACATATGTTTCCAACTGAAGTATAGGCCTTTCCACATATTAATGTGTAAGTAAGACATTTAGTTTGATAAGGCCATTCTAATCTTTGTTGATATATAGTTATTAATTCATAATAATTTTAAAATATGACATCAGTGTAGTTTTTCCATGTGGTATTCTTTTTTTTTTCTTTTTCTTTCCTTTTCTTTTATTTCTTTCCTTTATTGAAATATAGCCATGTGATATGCTTAATTTTTAAAGTTTCTCTACAAGAAAATCAAAGAGGGGAAAACAAAGAAAAAAATAGGAGTGACTCTGACTTAGATCGTATTGGCAGAAACATGTCATTATAAACGTCTCTAAGTATTAATGGGATGAAGCAGCCACTCTCCTGCACTGCTGCTTGGTGTGTAACCTGGTGTAACCTTTCTAGAGGCGATCTGACAATACTAATCAAGCTTAAATATGCTCCTACCCTCTGGCCAGGTAATTGCACTTACAGGAATTTGTACTAAAGAAATAATAAGTGCAAAAGGTTTTACTGCATAGTTATATTACCTATAAACAACTGAAACCAATCTAAATGTCCAGAAATAGAAGAATGGCTAAATAACTGATGTTACACATATATTCAAGGTATTTATATATGAATATATGTAATTATGATATATATATATATACACACACACATGTGCATAGACATTTTTTCCTGCCTCAGCCAGATCATAATACAGATACCAGGGCTGCTCATTGCTACTGGCTTAATCACTGTTTCCAGGTCTTTTCAGTGAACAGAGGAGCTGGGAATATGTCTATGTATAAACACATGAATCATAAGTTTATATCACTGACTTTCAATTCAAATTCGGAACTACAGGGTTTTTACCTAACCTCTTCTCTTTTACATCTATATCTCCTTCTTTTCATGCTGAGAATCTTGATTCTCAAGGACACTGAGTGTGGTAGAATTAGAATATCCCATAATTAATATTTGCTTATTCCATATTACTCAGAATAGCAATGTTGACATTACCACCAATAATACGATCACCAAAACCTGATAAAAGTGTTTTTGCAATTCATTTTGTCCTTAGAGTATATATCCCAGTAGGGAAATATAGTCAAATTACTGTGTCTTAAAGTTGTTTGAAACAGTGCTCTGTATGCCAGAAACTGGATACAGT